GGGGTCACAAGGATGGATAGGATTAGAAATGACTACATTAGAGGAAGTCTAAAGGTAGCATCTATCTCAGAAAAAATAAAAAGCCATAGACTGACATGGTTTGGACATGTGGTGAGAAGGAATGAGGAACATGTAACAAGAAAGGCACTATATATGAAAGTACAGGGAGATAGAGGTAGAGGAAGACCTAAGAAGAGGTGGATTGAGTGTGTAAAAACGGATATGCTGGACTGGGGAGTGGATGAAGAAACAGTTAGAGATAGACCAACGTGGCGCAAATTGACATTCCGGGCTGACCCCAAATAATCTGGGATATAGGCCAGGACAAAGAAGAAGAAATATTAAAGTTTTTCTAATAGGAAATTAGTTGTTGAAACTATACGTTACATAATTTAAATATCATTTATAATACGTAACAATTAATATGGGAAATTATTATTATGAATATATTTATCAAATAAATATATTTAAACCTCGCAAACCTTCACATACGTTTACCACATCGAGATAATAATTTTTTATAGAAAATAATCTGAAATAATATTTAAAATAAATCTGTTAACCACAGAAAAGAAACGTTGTTCTATGGGCCAGTCAAAAAAATCTATGAATGTATTTGAATTTTTTAACAACAAAATTTTTATCTGGAATCTGAAGGTTTTTCTATATTTGATTTTTGTAGATAAAATTTCACAACAGTGTTTATAAAATGGTTTTTTTCGGTTAATTATAATCTTTAAAGACCAATTTAAAATTAGATGATCTTACTTTACAGTAGTGATTTTCTAGTAAATGATGATACTTACATTATTAAAAGTTAGTTAAGAATCGTCTGTATTGGAAATAACTGAGCAAATCCTCTTAGTATTAATGACATGTATTTCAAGGTTTCCACAAAGTTCAATCACTATCGATACTGATATTGGTATTGGTTGCCTTCTGAAAGTATTTACACTTTCCAATAGCGGCATCAGGTTCCGAAATTGGAAATATTGCTGGCTGTACAGACTGTCCATTTGTTGTTAATGTTGTTACAACATTTTTTATAGGTGAAGAGGTGAGAAGGTATTGTATTTCTACTAGGAAGGCAACACTTTCAATGAATGCTGAGTAGCCCACAGAGCAGCAATAAATATAGTTTGATACTTCAGGAAATTGAATTTTATCTATCTGGTTCAGAAAACAGTGAGTCAATCGGTACTTCAGTATACACTAATATCACGATTTACATACACAGAACGACTTACAAACCTGCTGGGCTGCTAATAGACTCTGTGAGTACTACAGTAACTGAGATAGAAATGAATAAGGTATGTTCACGGCTTTGGTAAAGAGGTAAGACAGTCTTTACATTGAAATTTTTTCTTGTGTTGAAAGTTTGCAAATGTCACTGCAAACAAGCATGTAGAAATTGTCTCTTATTTCAAACATTTTATGATGTTCCAAGTCGATTAACAAAGAAAAGTACGGCATAATGTCTAGCTAAATTTTTATTTATAAACAGTAATCTAAACTCGAGCATATATAGTCCTAAATTCTCGAAATAAAATTTGACATAATAGATTTATCGGCCCACCAGTGGCCGAGTGGTCTTCGTACCCTAAACACTGGGAGTTCGGTCGTGGGTTCGCGCCGCGATCGGACAGGCTGGCTGCTTGGAGTTTTCCGGGTTTTCTCCTTGCCAATAACGACTAAATAGGAGGCCAGTTCCCCATAAAAGTCCTCCCGGAAGGCATTAGTTCCCCTCGCGTAACATCGCGCCCCAGAGAAGGCAACGGGAAACCACTCTGGGTAGTAACTTTCCCTAGTATACACCTTGGCGGATTACAAACCTACGCCAGGTGTCGCCGACGTCAGGAATCTGATATGGCACCAAGAAGA